CCCGGCACCAAAAAGACTAGGTTCAAGCTAGGTTAGCTTCCCTGGTGGGGGGAAATCCTTAGACTGGGGGAACACTGAAAAGGCCCTATTCCAATTATCTGTTGTGCTTTTGTTGGAAGATACACAGAGGGAAAACCCTTTGACAATTATCTTTGAGACAGGCAAGGTGATGTGGAGGCAGATAGTCTTTCATTTACCCCAGCTGTGGTCAGTTGTGACAAGCACCCACAAACCTGGGCCTTCAAAGGGAGCGGACCTGAATGTCACCATCTGGGACAAAAATTGGTCTCTTATCCAATCTAAGATCAAGTGAAGGCACCAGTTTAGCACTTCCACTATCAGATGTAACAGATATAGGTGGGTGGATGTCACCTCACTCCAAATCCTCTGATGACCTGACTTGGACAGCTTCATGCCAGCATGAAGAAAGGGAGATGTTGAAGAACAGCACAAGACAGACTCCAAAGCACTAATGCACTGCTCCTGGGCAATTGCACACTATATTGGAGACTTATACAGATTTTTATGGTTTTTATGATGAAAAGGAAGAGAAAATAAAAGTTATATAAAAAGTATGGAGGGAAGGATAAAATGATATTAAGGGAATGGAATCAGCAAGATACTAGCATCTTTCTCACCTGGATGGTGTCCACTGTGTCACGGAAGACAGGATTGTTGAACTTAACAGTCCGCCAGAACTTGGGCTTGTGGGGGTTCAAGAGGTTGCGCCCATATTTCTCCAAGATGTTCAAGGCAGTGGAGATTTTGTGAAGATCCTTCTCAGTCTGGGAAGGGGTTGGGAAACTGGACTTAGTGACATTACAAACATACACAAGCTCTATGGAGATTAACAGTGCAGCCTCCATGAACTCTACAACCCTGTCATACTCAATACAACTGGTTTCTGAGATCCCACATGGGAGAGATATTATTAACCAATGTTCTTAAGGACTAAAACCTTGCTACTGAGTGTTTTAAAAATGTCTGCTCACATTCTCAGGAATCTGCACTACTCAATTATGCATTTATGTGACTGCTTACAAAAAATGCAACCTCAGTCATAACCCACCCTCATCCCATCCACCAGTCTAGCTCACAGTATCCGCATACCAACATTTCTTAAACCTGCCTACTTGTTATACCTTGATCTTTACATTTATACCTCTGCTAGCTTCTCTGCCTTACCTACAGTTCCATACTCTCTCCCTGGGTAGCAACTGATTTACAGGCAGACATTGCACAGGTGAAGCTTCTGCCTGTTAGGCAGCTGTTTAAAATCCTAAACTCCTTCCAGAAACTAGGGAAATCACCACACTAATGTTGTCTCCACTGCTTCTAAAGTGTCCCCCAATCTCAACCTTTACCCTCATACCCGCTTTCTAGGATGTCCCCTTACCTGACCCTGGGTATTGGCTTGTATAATGCCCTTGGCATCTATTTCCTGGTACTTTTGGGCAGGAGGTAATGCCATCTCCACCAAGCGTTGCACTGACTCCGGATTCTGCTCCGCAGGACTCTTGATCAAAGCAGCCACCAGTTCATCCCGTAGGGCAGTGAACTGTCGCTCCATCTCCTCCATGGCTGCCACCAAAATGAGGGTGAGGGAGGTGGAAGAAAATAAAGGACTAATAAGAATAAGGTGGAGTGATATTTCTAACCTCTCCCAGGCATCAAAAATAACATTGCCAGATGACATTACCAGTCTAGATGGCACATTATGATGAGTCTTTGCCTTCCAGGAGGATACAATATAAAGCAAACATGCAAGGGGGAAATGATACTGGCTTCTCCTTCAGTGAAGGCTTTTAAATAGGGATGCTCACCTGCACTAGGTAGGGGGCTGAACTAGATTACCTTTGGACTACCATTCTAACAAAAAAAAAAATATGTCATACCCACCTAGAGTTGCCAGGTGGTTCCTTACTGTAAAGGATGCCTTATTGTAAAGGTAAAGGTAAAGGTATTCCCCGTTGACAAGGTTGTCAAGTCGTGTCCAACCATAGGGGGTGGTGCTCATTTCTGTTACTAAGCTGAAGAGCCAGGGTTGTCAGAGACTACTCTGTGATCATATGGCCAGCATGAATGCACAGAACGCTGTTTACCTTCCCACTGAGAAGTGGTACCTATTTATCTACTTGTATTTGCATGCTTTCGAACTGCTAGGTTGGCAGAAGCTGGGACTAGTGACAGGAGCTCACCCCATCATGGAGCATTTGGGCCTCGAACTGCTGACCTCCCAATCATGCAACCAAGAGTCAGTGTCTTAACCACCTGAGCCACCACATCCCATCTTACTGTAAAGGGTGTTCCTAATTTTAGGGCTAGAAATGTTTCTCCTTTCCAGACTGCTAGTTGTCACTTATATGTTGTTGTGTGCTTTCAAGTCTTTTCTGACTTATGGCAGCCCTAAGGCAAACCTATCAGAGAGTTTTCTTGGCAAGAATTGTTCTGGGGGGGGGGGGGGTTGTCTTTGCCTTCTTCTGAGGCTGAGAGAGTGCAACTATAGAAATAATGCAGTTTGACACCACTTTAACTGCCATGGCTCAGTTCTGGGAATTGTAGACTTGTGAGATGTTTAGCCTTCCCTGTCAGAGAGCTCTGGTGCCACAACAAACTACAAATTCTGGGATTCCATAGCATGGAGCCAGGACAGTCAAAGTGGTGTCAAACTGGATTATTGCTACAGTGTGGATGCAGCCCCAATGGGTTTCCATGGCCAAGGGGGGATTCAAACCCTGGTCTCCAGAGTTGTACTCCAAACTCAGACCACAACACCACACTAGGTTTCCACTTATTATATGAGATGACGCCTATATGAGAGTTAGATAGCGTTTCCTTTTTATAGAGACTGAACAACATGCTAATAAACCAAATACTTTTAAATTGTGGGCTCTACATAAAGACCAGAATGTGTGCATCATATGATTTATGAATGTGGATGACAGGTCAATTTTAAAGAAAAACACATGGCTAGATTAAACAAAATGAATAGTACTTTCATTTGGTATTTAAGCAGGACCCAAACTTTCTTACAGTGCCAGTGTGGCATAGTGGTTCGCGTGTTGGACTACAACTCTGGAGACCAGGGTTTGATTCCCTGCTTGGCTACAAAATCCACTGGGAGACCTTGCACAAGTCACATTATCTCAGCCTCAGAGGATGGCCATGGCAAACCCACTCTGAAGAAACTGACCAAGAAAACCCCATGATAGGTTCGCCTTAGGGTAGTCAATGACTTGAAGGCACACAACACACACACACATGCAAACTTGGTTAACCTTGCAAGGCTATTCACACTCCTTTCCAAACGACAAAAAAGGGCATAAGTCAGGGATGTTTTGATTGTGAGTTCCTACATAGCAGGGGATTTGACTGGTTGACCCTTGTGGTCTCTTCCAACTCTATGATTCTAAGTTCTAGTGGGTAAAGTGAGGCTTTTGTGTTTTTGTTGTTGTTAACTGTCCTTGAGTCGATCTTGACTCATGGCGGCCCTTTGGATGAGACATCTCCAAGAAGATCCTCTGTCCTCCCCTGCTCTTCTTAATTCCTGCAATCCCTTAATCCCCATAGGGACCTCCTTCATAGAGTCCCTCCATCTGGCC